TACCTAATCTTTATATTACAGCCACCAAAAGTCAAATGTAAAACTAAAATATGGCATCCGAATATTGCAGAAAATGGTGATATATGCTTAAGGTAAGTTAAAAGTTGTTGCTCTGAAACTCAATGAGTCTACCCCTACCCTGGGTATGTGTGCCACAGACTCAATGGGTCCACCCCTACCCTGGGTTCATGTACCACAGACTTAATGGGTCTACCCCTTCCCTGAGTGTGTGTGCCACAAACCCAATTGGATTTTCTCTGCTTGCTACATTAACCTTATGTTTTTGTTATTTTCCAGTTTACTTAGGGAACACTCTTTAGATGGTACTGGTTGGTCACCTGCAAGAAAATTAAAAGATATCATATGGGGTCTCAATTCTCTTTTCTTGGTTAGTGTCATTAATAGAAATGTCTAAACTCAAAGAAGTCACAATGCTGTTAGTCAAAGACTTTCCTCTCTAATTTGTTGATATGTCTTCCTTTTTTTCCAGGACCTTCTTAATTTTGATGATCCTTTAAACATTGATGCTGCAGAACATTTTTATAGAGACAGAGCTGGTTTTAAAGCTAAAGTTAATGAATATGTCAGGCGATTTGCACAAAGATGATGCTATTTTATTTTGGTGTGAAGGATTATGGGTATTTTATCAGTCTTCTTGCGTATGCAGTGATGGAAAGTCATTGTTCAAAATGTGTTACAGTGACCGCTACTAAAATTCATTCTCTTAATGACTTTTGAATGGAATTGAAGATTATAACATCTATTATGAGTTAATGTTATTAGAATACCAAAATTGAGAAAAGATTAGGGTTACCAAACATTTTTTCATGAAACGTGAGTTTGAAAGACCAAAATTTCTTTATCTTTTGTATAATTTATAATTATTTCCAAATTTGAAGTGCCATGGGATGAATTTTGAATGTGAATGAATTGAATATGAATTTTGTTAAAATGGACATATAATTTAGAGTGTTCCCAATGTGAATACTTTCCATTATATGCAATGGGATGGTCTCTCCCATAATGGATTGCATATATGTGCAGTAACGTGCTCAGTACTGCCAATTTAGTACAGCCCTGAAGTACACATGTACCACATTTGAGAAAAGTAGATTGCGTTGTGTGAATAACGTGAACATTTGCTTATGGTGTTTCATGGGTATTCAACTTATTAAATAAGAGCAAACAAGATATATTTTTTGTTTCAAAAGTATGGAAAAGTGGCTTTTTTTATTCATTATGAAATATCTTTTGGGAGAAAAATGGTCTGCAACATACACAAATCGGAACTGTTTCCATAGAAATTTGTATTTTGTATTAGGAAATAGTATTTGTCAAAATTTTCCAACGATTTGGTAAAACCTCAAGAAAAAACCCATCTTACAACTATGTGTGATTTTCAAACCATATTCAAGAAAATTTTGAGATATGACTTTTTTACTAATGATCAATGGCTATAAAATCAAGGGTGTTTGATACAATTTTTTTGTGAGAAGTAGTTTGGTAACCATAAATTTTTTTTCTGGATTTTGTGAGCAACAGCAAAAAATAAAACCATAAGGTGAAAGTCAAGGAAAACTTGTAAGTTTTAATGGTAGCCAACTACCACAATTTTCTGTAGTTCTTTAAAATTTTTGTATTTGCCACCTATTTCTTTTACAACCAGACTTGTCTCATTCTATTATTTATCTGCTACAACGTATGAACATTTCCTTTTGTCAGCAACTCCCATAGCCAACCATAGGCACATAATAACAAAATCTACATATTCATTTCCCATCAAATTCAAGATTTTATTTTCCTACCTCTCATATCAATAATTTGTTTAATTACATTACCAATATTTCTCAGGTAAAATAGGAGTAAAAAACGTTATGATAAATCATACTTGTCAATTGGCTACAATCTAGGTGGTATCTTATTTTCACTGTCAGTTGACTGCAATGCGTCTATTCAATTTATCAAATATATGGTCAGATTTTATTGGCAGCCACTGTAACTCATCCATGGAAAAGATGTGTTGGTTAAAGTAATAGAGAGAAAATGTATTGTTTTTGTTGAGTTTTAATACTTGGGACATTAATGCTCTGATGGCATGTTTGGTGCAGTATGTGCAACATTTTTATATCTTCTAAAGTAATCTGAAGTTGCAGTTTGTTGCTAAAAATATATCATTTTCTATGCAGGCTGATTGTTGTAGACTTGTATATGTCATGTTGGCTAATGATATTAGCCTGTATATGATTTGTGATCACTCTAAGAATCACTGGAGTCATCCATTTTAGCTCTCTGTTCAAGGTATTTATATACCCGGTACTTATAAAAGTCTGCTTCCACATGCACTTGTCTTGGAGATGTGCTACTAATATAGAAAATACAATTTAGTTTGGTGCACCAAAAAACAAATTAAGTATTTTATTTGCATTTATTTTCTGTCAATAATTTATGTCAATGTCATTTATTACCCAAGGAATTGGCAACATCACCTTCACCATTGTTTATCTTCAAGTTAGAGTACTGAAGAAGGCTTAAATACAAATTTGTTCATGTCAGACGTTCAAGTGGTGAGCTAAAGTTTGCTCGTTAGTTCTATCGACTGAGATTGTCATAAAATCACAATGACAAGCCACTATTAGGGATATGAATGAGCCTTTCACTGCAAGGTTGAATGTATGCCAACAGTGGGCTGTTCCTTGTTGGTCAACCTAACCTTTGAACTACCAAGACAAAATTTGATTCTATTTATAGATTTTGATCTACTAGCAGATGTTGAATGAGTCTAATGTATCTGCTTCATTAGAAGTACATCTCTAATAGAAGTACAAATTAGATAGAAAATTGCATTTTTTGTGTTCTTGAACATTAGACTTGCATTGGCTATATACAAACACCATTCATTTATGTAAGAGCTGATGCTATTGATAGAGAACATAGGTACTTTGTGGAAGACAGCAAACGTTGACTTGGCAGTGAAATGATATGCAAATTACCTAATTAAAATGCACAGATAGGACAGAAAACTATTTTATGCAAGGTGCCAACAGTTCACAAGAGGGTGATAAGATAAACAGTGCAAGACTCATGAGTGGGGGCGGTAAGGAGTAGAAATGAAGGTTACACTTTGACAAAGATTTATTTTTAAACACTGTAGATGCATGTCCTAGATGCATCTTATCAGTTGTAAATTTTATAAAAATTGGTTTTCATTTCTGATGTGCGCGTGTTACCATGTTCTATTTTTGCAATTTTCTGTTCTTGGAACTTAGCCTTACTAGATGTATAACTAGGATTAGAGTTGTACATTATATATCTAATATTATCTGTTATATATTGTAGACTATTCACATAGTAATTATTAATATATATAGCATGAGTGATGGGTGCAATAAAAGTCAAACTTTCGCATTGAAATTTGTATGTGTTTAAATGGATAAGTGTGTTGGTGTACCTGAGTCTATTAGACTCCACAGTTACTGTAGCTTTCACATATTTGAATGCTTGTAAACAGTGTTAATGGAATCAAGCAATGCATGACCCAAGCAATATGTCCCATGATTCGTATTTACAAAATACCCCTTATACACAAATTTTGGTCTGCCTATTGTTCTAACAATCTGTTAACTTATGATAGCAGTCATTTTTTGTTCAGCATTCTTTTTTCAGCATCAGTATTTACTGGAAACACTTTAATTCATGCAATACTCTCTGCCAAACTTGATGATGGGAACTCATTTTTATTTGGACTTCAAGAAAATAGCATTAATCTACTTCAAAGAACCCAAAACACTGCTGCTAGAATCATCTCTCGTACTAGAAAATCTAAGCATATAATCCCAGTTCTACAAAAAATGCTTTGGCTTCCTGTTCATCACAGAATTGAGTACAAAATTCTTCTGTTAATGTTTGAAGCTTTGAACAGCCTTGTTCCAAACTACCTAACTGATCTTCTTCATTTATATACACCTGGTTGTACGATTCATTCTTCCAATAAGAACCTTCTTTGCACCACAAAATATAAATTGAAAACATATGGAAGATGTGCCTTTTCACATGCTGCTCCTCAACATACATTTCCTGGCTGAACTGCCCAACCATACTGTGCATGTGTGTTGTGTTTTGATAAGCCACTAATGTATGTTTACTACTGTGTGTTATAGCGCCATCACAGCCCTAGGTGACAGTTTGAAATATCTTTTGTTTATTAATGTGTGCATGTCGTCTGTGCATGTGTTTTCCAGGCTGTACTTTTGATAACCACCATTCCACCCTGGATCTCTTACTGATTACAATACACATTAGTTGTATAGGGCATCTTTTTTCTTTTCTTGCATTTGTAGTTCTACCATTTTTTATATGAGTGTCTTCTTTCTCAGCCCATATGTTTCTGATTAAAGGCACTGAGCTGCCCATTATGCCCAACAGTACTGTGCATGTGTTTTGGTAAGCCACTAATACTTTGTATGTCCATACTACAGTGGTAAAGTGATGTCCAACAGTGTGTCTTACTGTGAATCTTTCTTGTGCTACTTTTTATGTTCATACCACAGTGGTAAAGTGATATCCAACATTGTGTCTTACTGTGAATCTTTCTTTTGCTACTTTTTATGTTCATACTACAGTGGTAAAGTGATATCCAACAGTGTGTCTTACTGTGAATCTTTCTTGTGCTACTTTTTATGTTCATACCACAGTGGTAAAGTGATGTCCAACATTGTGTCTTACTGTGAATCTTTCTTGTGCTACTTTTTATGTTCATACTACAGTGGTAAAGTGATATCCAACAGTGTGTCTTACTGTGAATCTTTCTTTTGCTACTTTTTATGTTCATGCTACAGTGGTAAAGTGTTGTCCAACATTGTGTCTTACTGTGAATCTTTCTTGTGCTACTTTTTATGTTCATACCACAGTGGTAAAGTGATGTCCAACATTGTGTCTTACTGTGAATCTTTCTTTTGCTACTTTTTATGTTCATACCACAGTGGTAAAGTGATGTCCAACATTGTGTCTTACTGTGAATCTTTTTTGTGCTACTTTTTATGTTCATACCACAGTGATAAAGTGATGTCCAACATTGTGTCTTACTGTGAATCTTTCTTGTGCTACTTTTTATGTTCATACCGCAGTGATAAAGTGATGTCCAACATTGTGTCTTACTGTGAATCTTTCTTGTGCTACTTTTTATGTTCATACTGCAGTGGTAAAGTGATGTCCAGCAGTGTGTCTTACTGTGAATCTTTCTTGTGCTACTTTTTATGTTCATACTGCAGTGGTAAAGTGATGTCCAGCAGTGTGTCTTACTGTGAATCTTTATTGTATCGCGTTTGCCCCACACGTTCCGGGAAATTGCTGTTTGAATATGTACGCCAGCTTACTGTGGGAATGTAATAAACTTCTTCTTTACAAATAACTGGAGGATTTGTTTGTCTATCATTGTTTTAAACAGTTAGTAGTGTAGAAAGAATCGATTCACAATTGTGAATTTTAGTGTGCGCCCCACTTTTGAAAACCTAGTTTCTAACAATCGGGAAACAGCTCTTCATCTAATAATTTTGGTGCAAAAGTTTACCTAGATATGTTCCCGTACCAATATTTGTTGGAACTTGTTCCTTCGAAGCAGACAGTATAGTAGTCCTACTATACTGTCTAGTATAGTAGGTATAGTAGTCCTACTATACTGTCTAGTATAGTAGGTATAGTAGGTATAGTAGAACTACTATACTGTCTAGTATAGTATGACTACTATACTGTCTAGTACAGTAGGTATAGTAGGACTACTATACTGTCTATGTTCAAAGTAATGTCATCGTAATGTAAATTATTTCAACACCGTGACGTTATTTGAAAGAATTCGTTTGGTGGAATAGCGCCCCTCGTGTCAAGAATTGTTTTTTGTTTTGTTTTTGTGCTTTACTGCATGCCTTTGTCGGGTCCGAGGGCGCTTTTGTGGAAAGGTACTTGTTATGGTGTGCGCAGTGCGAATAAAATAGTTGATTACATTTTACACCTTGCCCACGTCTACGAATTTACGTTTTTTTATTTATTTAAATTTTATAATTACAAAAATAAAACAATTGATTACAGCTTACAAAAATACCCCTTGCTGACCCTATAAATAAATCTCGTGGTCCGAGTCTGTTTGTGGCACCGTGGCGACACGCTGCTGGTTTCTAG